CAGGATGCCCTTCGCATGACGACGCTCCTTAAAGCACATTAGTTTACCTGAGCAGATGCTGAATATTTTAGGAATATTCAGCTAAACAAAGCGTGGTTTTCAACTACTACACGTGTAACTCATATACCAACTGTACTGGGGGACTTCTCTTTGCAGTGAAGCAAAGGCTACAGAGCCAAATCGCGGGCATCCTACAACCGATGAATGTAGTTCCACATCAGCGCCTGCATTTACACGATTAAATATAGGAATTCCCCCTTCATTTTTTACGTGGAGCTATTTGAGGCTGGGCGCAGCTCCCACCGTTCTATAGATAGTCGTACTTACTTATTCCTTGTGACTTCGCGTTTTTGAACGCAGGAGAAAGTACCGCCTTTTACGTGCGCCTCAAATGCTAAGTGGAGTCGGCATATACATGAAACGCTTATGGTGCACCCCCGTCACTTTCTAGAACATTACGAGACGCGCGCCTAAACGGACTACTTCACGTAGTGCTGCATGAACAGCAGCTTGGTCCCCGTAGCTTTCCATTCAGTGCCAAGAAATGTCACCGAGTATAGAATCATGTGCCGATTCATTTGTTTTTTTTTTATTAAACCATTTCACGTCACATCAAACGCGCTGACAGGCAGACGCTACATTTCGGTTGTAATGGTAAGAAGCAACGGTTCAAAATCTGCTAAACGAAAAGCAGCTCTATATTGTGTGGCTTGCTGATCCAGAAGGTAGTACTTCATCTAGACTGTGTTTAACAGAAGAATCAGATAACAGAAACTCTAGAAACACACACAAGAACCTCAAGAACCTTTAACGCCTGTACAGTGCTCTCAAAATAAAGCTCAAGCTGTGATAATGTACATTTCATAAGCGTCAAACACACTGTATACATTGAACTGGGAAGTAATAAACTATGTACACAATAGGATGCATACTCACCTAAAGTTTCTTATTGTATGCTCCTTAATATTGGCTAGTCACGATAGCAATCTTTCGTGTCGCGTACCTAGTTGGAACGAAATATTGTAATGCTAGAATATGATATTTTCTGGCGTACGAGAGGTCCTTCTTTTAGAAAATACAGGACCTGATTTCTGATTACATTGAATATTCACACACACACAACACTAAGTACTGATAAATATTACTTCATCACGCAAAAGGCTTTGTTTTTTGTGCGTCCACGTTACCTGTCGATGCTTGCACCACATGCTCGAAGACCTTGAAGCATCCGGGAAGAGGAGCACCAATAACTCTGTTGTACCTTATTAGAGCGCTCTTCATTTCTGCCTACGAAGATACAGACTGCAATCGAGCAGCGTCACACGCTTTAATGTACAATATATAGAAACGACCCCTTAAAATACTGATGATCGACACTGATTCAAAACAACGTCTCGCTAGCGGCAGCAAAGCTGATGTTCTGGACGAACATCAGACAAATTTATTTACACCACTTTAAACCGTTCCTGCATGCCTGTATTAAAGTCAATGCTCTTGAAAATGACAATAGTTGAGTCAATTGACCATGCACATGTGAACAACCTAATATACACTGTTAATGTAAATAGTCGTCACCCTTTCTTCGGAGACCACACAGAAATACTGACGTACTCTGCTATCACAACAAAACACTGTTAGCAGTTCGTGCTCCAGCGCCACTGCATAATTAAAATATACAATGCGTATTCATCTGATCACTGTACTCTATTTCGAAGTACAATCACTGTGGTGAAAAATTTCAGAACACTATCCATGTTCTTTTAAGCTCTAAACAAGCCCCAGCACAATTACTAACAGCGAAACTCACAAGAAAGAAGTGCTGCCTTTATATGCCACATTCCGATGAGAAGACTGTTTCTATGTTAACTTTTCAGGACTTAGGAGAGTGGGGTATATACTTATATACTTATATACCTGAGTTTATTCGCCAGTGTCCCTCTCTCTGTACTATAAAAGCTGTGGCTGGTAATTTCGTTAGGAGAGACACTTTACAACACGCTTCACACAAACGCTTGTCGATGCGTAACGATGAACTATAGCAGCCAGGTTCCGTTTTCAATGCGTGATATGTCGCCGAATTTCAGCAGTATACTACATTCGATTATAGCGCCGAAGTGCACGTAATCATTAGAAAAAAACTCCCAAGCATTTCCCCGAGGGTGAACATGGTTAAGTGCGAATGCACGGGGCGATGCCATGAGGGGGAGTAAAATTAAAATCCGTTGGCGACGCTCATATCGGTGTCAGTAACGCGCCTTATATCCAGATGGTAGCGTTGCCTCCGGGACATTCATCGCACGACCCGCTCTCGACGGGAGACTGAGAGAGAAGGCGGGCGCACGAGAGAGAGGGGTGTGCGCGCAGCTGCAGCGAGTGAGGAGAGCGGAGGAGCGAGCGAAGGGGGAGGGGGACTATCAGCGTCGCGTTCGGCAGAGCGTCGGCAGAGCGTCGCGCTGCGGCCCGCCAAGTCCTCTTTCTTTTAAAGATAGAGAGAAGACTGCGGACACCGCCGACGGCGGTGGATCGTTTGGGGTCGCTAATAAAGTGTACTCACACTTAATAAAACTCGCTTGGTCATGATGGGGAGAAATGTAGGAGGCGGGGGTGGCTTGAGGCAAAGAAAAGCACTTGTTTCCTACGTATAGATACTTACTTGTCTGATTTCTTCTAAAAGGTTTCGTTCACGACATACTGTGCCTTCTAAGCACTTACTTGATGCTTAAAGTGTGAAAATCTGTGCGAGCCGATTACTCACCGAAATGTACAGTTTTGGACGACATACATTCACTGAAATATTGCGCTTTTCAGCTGCCTTCACTCGATTTTGATTACAATCTTGTTCATTAAACTTTATCGTAAACAGAAGAAAAAACAAAAATGTGGGAATAATTCACTAAGTGTACAGGAACGTTTAACATTGTCAATATTATTTAGAAATATCGACAGTGAGAAATGCTGACAACTAGAAAAGCAGTCCCTTTAACTGGACCTCATCGGCGTTGCGCAGACGATCGTACCTTCTGAGAACTTAACCATGTAACTAGTTCCGGGGACCTGCAAAGCACTGCTACATATCTCTGATTCCGACATACAACTCCATGGGGCACAGTCTCACGGTCACGGCGCTAGGTGGGAGCAATTTCAATGCCTGTACACTCTAAGAACTGCGGAGGGTGTCGCAGGAGTAAAAAGGTCAAGTTACTCCTAAGAGTGTTCTACTCTAGCAAAGCATCAGATAGAGTGAAATTTATTTTCACTCTGCATAAAATGAAAGAGCGAAACTGCTTTTTACTCTGCCTATCTTCGAGTGAGTATGCACTTCATATACTCTTTAAACATGAGAGAGTAAAACGTGGTTAGACTCTTGATCTTTATTACATTCAGATGCTTCAGCACACCGCAAAATATTAGCACCACCTAATAAGCAGACGCATATGCAGTAAAGCGTGCTGCATTTGTTTGTTGAGGCGTTAAACACGATTAACAAAGATAACAGTGTTTTCAATGCGCGCCAGTTAATTTCATCGCACTTGAAGGCGCTACGAACTCCTAATATCCGCGTTTTTAGCTTCGGATCTTTGTAGTGAACTAAGCGAATACTATCTTATTCAGTCGGTCACGATCGAAACTCGACGCAAATGGCTGTGACAGTCTCCTTATAATAATATTCATGTTTTTTGCTACGACCATCGCAGACAGGAATGCTGTCGTAAGCTTAACGTACGGTACGGCTACAGTTGTGGCTTTCATCGTAGTACGGGAATAAGTACGGCAAAGTTTATGACCAAAAGTAGGTCCTAGGGGGTGAAAAAGAAAACTTAATTGTTTAATGTACACTTCAGGAGCGCGATGTTTCTTACGCACATTTGACTAATCACTTAGCCAGTCAGTGGAAATGCCGTTTATATAATCGTTTGCGCTGATCTTCTTTTTTTTCTGTAAAAAAAAAACCTGTCGTACAGACGTTCTGATCTCACGAAGCAGAGAACTAAACGCATTAAACACGTTACCTACAGTCTGGTTGGTTTCGATAACAGTGGAAACACTCAAAACTGCACCTCTAAACAAGAAAATGCAGACAGATCACAACATTACCAATGAAAGAAGCAATTTTACACTAACGTACCGTTTTTCAGTGTGAAATGGTGGTTACCGTGTCAGACTCGCTATGTGCAGTGCGTCTAGAGGTCAAAGGTTCGAGTCCCACTCAGTATTTTTTACCTTTCTTTTTTTCGTGGTGCTCGTAATTAGCCATTCCTAGCCATCCAGCGCGTGAGGAAATCCGCCAAGAACAATTGAAAAGCCCAGTTTCGGCCATCTTTTTTTCACGAGTTGTACTACTACTCTTTTCGGTGGGCTCATGCTACTCTGCTTCGAGCAGCGTTATGTTACTCTGTTGAGGTGGAGTGCTTTGACGGGTTCTGGAGGAAATAACTGTGCTCTGCCTGAACAAGAGGTTATTTACTCTGGAAAAGAGAGTGAAATATTGGACAAGAAAGTACCTTTCCAAAGAGAGTGCCGCGCACTATTTTAGTTTTTAGAGTGTAGGCCTTCTTTGACCACTATAAAGCTGCTCTTTCTCTAGCCTGAAGTGAGTAAAGAAACCTTGGAGTCAGCGCCTGTTATAACCAACTCGTCTAACGTTGAAGAGCATTTCTTGTAGCGCATTTCACGCTTATTTCAAGTGAACAGAAGGCAACATATCACCAAACCAGCAGCTTATTGTGGCTTGTTCTTGACATGTGCACACAATGTCTGGCAGTTGCCTTCTCGCTACTTATTAAAAACAAACTCACAACTTGGTAGTTGTGGCCATGATTCTCCAGACTGGACGTAGGCAGTCAATTGACAACCGCTGTCTAGGCTCGGTGAGCCGTAATTGCCAGTGGTGTCCTGGACGAGATGCTCTATACCCTCAGTGACCAGGGAGCATTATATTTATTAATGTTGTGCTTCTGTGGGATGGGTGTAACCATGAATATCAGACAAAGACTCCTTCATTCTTCTAATTTTCACTTTTTTTGTCACCATCCCCTCCAAGCACTCCCGAAAACACAACAAAGCTAATCGTAAGAAATGATTCAAGATCACTAAGTAGTGAATCTTTTACAAAATGAGCGACAGCAGCATTGTTTTCCCTGTTTGACTGGCCCTGTCATCATCCACAATGTTTTGTCGAAGTGGCCTAGCCGAGCTGGGCAGTTTCGGCAAGGCGGCAAAAGCAATCAATCAGTGCCATATTAAACAGGGTTATCGGTGAAGGGTAGCTGGGCGTACGAGCCGTTGCTGGGTCGCTTATTCTGCTGCGACGGGAAACGGCTGCCCGTCGACGGCAGGCACGAGGTGGTCGTGCTGGTGGTGAAACTGACACAGCTTCCGCGTTGCGTGGCCAGCGGCTTGTGCGCACGGCCGTAGCCCAGTGCCTGGCGGCAACGGTCGCTCCCGCGACGAAGGGCCCGCATAGTTTTCCACCGCTCCAAGTGATGACGCACAGAGTTGCGAACCTGCGTGACATAGATATGATTGGCGTGTGTCCTGTTTTGACGCATAGTGCAATATACATTTGTTGACAGATTGGAATCACAGCTGTTAAAATCTACGTATACCTTAGAAGTGCGGCAGCTACGGCTTTAGTATGACATGACGATAGTTATAGCGCGAGAGCGGAACGACGGCAAAGAGACAAGAAGGACACAAAGGACAAGAGCGCTCTTGTCCTTCGTGTCCTTCTTGTCTCTTTGTCGTCGTTCTGTTCGCGCGCTATAACTACCGCTACGTATACCTTTGGCCAAAAGAAAGCATTAAACGAAGCGAGATGCAGGATAGTCAGGAGGAAGGAAGCAAATTATATAATTCTATTTGTGGCTTTATCGTGTACGACAAGTATGGTTGAGTGACGACCTCTTAATTGACCTATGAGAAACCTCATGTACAACTCCTTCTTCTTTCCTTAGGTTTTAAAGTCCCAAAACCACCATATGATAACAAGAGACGTCGTAGTAAAGGCCTTCAAAAATTTTGACCATCTGGGGTTCTCTGACGCGTACCCAAATTTGAGCAGCACCAAAGGCCTTCTGTTTTCAACCTTGAATTCAGCTGTCAATACTGTTGCATCTTGGTGTACTCATATACAGGTTGTACCAAATATCATGCAACACTACTTAAAAAAATGCAGGGACGTCATTACATGAAGCACACGTTGTGCACATTGTTATCAATGTACTTTTCTAGGCACTACTATTTTTTTATTATTGAGCTTTAGTCACCCAGTCTTTACTACGTTCATAACTTGATGGTTAACCACCTAGTTAATAAAATGTCAATTAAAAGTATATCGGCTTGCTGAAATGACTTCCAATCACACTCTAATTAGCAACGTATTGATTAGTTGCGCATTTTTCGATTGATAAAAAACAACACAAAATATGAAAAATGACACCATATCAACGGGGTTAATGATGTAGAGTGGAGCGAAGCTGGGTTCGCATGCCGCTGCCACGCCACTTCGGCCTCCCTTCCTCGTACGCCGGAATCTTGTCGGCTCTGCCGCGCAGCTTCACGGCACGCTTCTGTCTCGCGCGCTCGCACATCGGCGTTCCGTCTTCGAGCGGAGCCACCGCTGCCTTGCACGCACGCCATTCTGCAGCCTTGTTCATCCACGGACCTTCTGAACGCGCACGCGTGCGAAAACGGCTTTAATTTTACTACACCGCTCTCCTAGCGTACGGCACCGCAGACGGAAACACTATTTGCCAACGCCTTCGTGTGACGTCATTTTATTGTCTCGCGCGCTCGCATATCGTGGTTCCGCCTTCGAGCGCGAGCCACCACCGCCTTACGCGTATCATACTTTTTATGGGCAAACTGTGAATCATCCGCTGGCCGCGTCCGTCCGTCGGCTGTCTATTTGTTGGACCCACGAACGAACACATGGACAGACGGATGCATGGATGAACGCAGGGATAGGCACACGGGTGGACGCACGAGAGGATGGACGAACGGACACATGGACGGATGCATGAATGGCCAAACGCACGGATGGACGAATAGACGCACGGATGAACGGATGAATGCACGGATGGACGCAAGGACGAACGCAGAGACGGACGCATGGATGGACGAACAGACGCATGGACGAACGCAGTGATGGACGTATGGACGATTGGATGCACGAATGGACGCACGGACGGATGGAAGCAAAAACGAATGGACGTAAGCAATAATGAACGGAATGACGGAAGCGCGGACGGAATGATGGACGCTTCACCCCACTCATCATCACTCACTCCATGAATATGATGTAATTTTTATTATTTATCATACAAGTAACGTCCTTTAGTTCCGTACCATTTGCATTTTCAGCGTATATGCATTTCGTCATATGTTCAAGTACCGCCCTCTACGGCTGATTCATGAACTAACAACAGGTGGCTACATACGAATATGACGGGACGCTCTGCCCGCGCGCCCGGCCCGTCCCGTCAGTGCAAAATATTCGGGTTCTTGGCCTTCACCTCACATCGTCCTTGGATCCAAAGGGCACAATAGCAGGCCTCAGACGCACCAGCGAACAGGTGAGCCGCATGATACGGCGAGTGTCTACCAAGCGCGGCGGCCTCCGCGGGTCTCAGTCCCTCCGATTGGCCCACGCGTTTGTGACTAGTCGCGTCCTCTGCGCCTTGCCTCACCTTCGCCTGCGTCGTCGACACGAGCACCAGCTGGACGTCCTTCTTCGTTCAGTATACAAACGCGCTCTGGACCTACCTATTGCAACTTCCAACAGCCGATTCACGGCTTTGGGGGTACACAACACCTTTGCAGAGATGCGCGAAGCTCATCGCGTTAACCAAATCAATCGACTGTCACAGACGCCTTCAGGGCGCCGTCTTCTACACAGACTTGGCCTTAACCCGATATCTGACCAAGACCCTCTGGAGCCGGTACCAGAGCTCTGGCGTCAAAAGCTATGGGTGGAACCTCTACCCCGTAATATGAACCCCGACCTCCATCCTGGCCGTAGACTAGCACGCGCCGCGGCCCTTCATACGCGACACTCCGATCGTCCTGGTGTTTTCTACGTGGACGTCTCGGGTCCCTCCCCCTCGGGTCACTTCACGGCTGCGGTGATTACAGAGGGCAAACACGTAGATGGCCTCTCCTTTCGAGCAGACACAGTAACGCACGCTGAAGAGGTTGCCATAGCTTTGGCCGCCTCTCACCCTGCTTCACGCACCATCCTGACGGACTCGCGCTCGGCCTGTTCTCAGTACCTTCAGGGTTCCATTGCCCCGCTGGCGGCTAGCCTACTACAGGCAGCCTCTTGGCGCTTGAACCCTCATCCCATTCGTATAGTCTGGACCCCAGGCCACTCGGGCCTGCCCGGCAACGAGGCGGCAAATGCCGCTGCCCGCGCTTCTCCTGTCCGGGCCGTTGCCCCTCCATGTCCCGAGACGGAATCTGGCAATACCAACCTGACGCGCTTTCGCGAAGTTTTGGCTTATTACCGGGCTTCGCGCCGCCTCTACCCGGACCCCGCACGCGGTTTGGAGAAAGCGGACAAACGACTGCTACGCCGCCTGCAGACGAACACCTTTATCAGTCCGGCGGTCGCCAGGCACTTTTTGCCGGAAATCAATGGCACCTGCTCGACCTGTCATGTCCTCGCCGACACATATCACGTCGTAGCATCGTGCCCAGTTAATCCCGTCCCTTTCTCATCCCCTTTTCCTATCCCAACTAGAGAGGCTTGGGAGGAGCACCTGCTCGGCTGCTCTACCTTGGCTGCACAACGCTCCTTGGTGGAGCGCGCGCGGGCAGCTTCCAGCTCCACTGGCGTCCCGGAATAGGGTCTTGCCACTCCAGCACGCCGATAGGCCACGTCGGCACTCTCTAGTAGACTTTTTCTGAAATAAATGTTTTTTACCACCACCACCATCTGCCCGCGCCTTAAGAGGCTCCGCTCCTAAAAAAATAACTCTTGACAACGCTCCCACACGCAAAAAGCGGGATCGTATAGTCTTGACTTGTTAATTCAAAGCTACCATGTTTGAGAACGCTGGTTCTCATTCTAGAGACGTGTATTTTGTCTGATTTTGTAGACTTTCTTTAAAACTAAAAAAAAACGACCATGCACGTTGTGGGAAATAACACATTTCAGTGATTACGTGAGGACTTGTTAAGTTAGAAACATATTTAGAACAAACTAACTAAGCAATATTAAAAAAAGTTAGGTGTGAGTACTAGAGTTAAAAGACAACAGGACCTAGGTGTGCCATCAGATATTCCTTTTTATTTTAAATTTTGCAGCGTGGTATTCGGAGACCCCGTAAAATATGAAGGAAATAAAGTGGCGTACAGCACGGAACTGACATTATTCATGAGAGAATAACATAATATTATTCAGCAAGTACAAACTGCCATGTATCTCGGGGTAGACTTCCGCTGATTGACTTCTGCAGGATGATCCTTTCTTAAAAAAAAAACGGTGTTGAACTACTCGTAGGGTTAAGAAATGAAGGCATGCGACATCTGTTACTCATGACATGAACAAAAAAATGCGGGCGGTGCTACTGCTCTCTGTGTTATTAGCCAGGGCTGATTGTGCCTTTGATGCCATCAATACCACATATTTAGTGTCACTATAAGCTCTGAACGCCCTTTAACCATGCCGCTGAGGTCTGCTGCATTTGCGTCAGGTATTATGCAGAATGATTTTGATCTCTTTGAACTTATCTGAACCATTACCCTAACCCTTGTGTTTATCCGATATAATGAGAGCTGCGACACGCCAGTCCACAATAACTGCTTATACAGTGTTACGTAGTACTTTAATTAAATATAGTACTTTTGATGGGATGCCTTCTTAAAGACAATAGTCTTTCTTGGGGACCTTCAACGGAAAAAGTTTGGCCTGCCTGCCTGCCTGCCTGTATGCCTGTCTGCCTGCATGCCTGCCTGCTAGCCTGTCTGTCTGTCTGTCTGTCTGTCTGTCTGTCGTCTGTCTGTCTGTCTGTCTGTCTGTATATTTGTATGTTCGTTCGTCCCTAACGATACCTCAAATGGCCAACCTCATCCGCAGCACCCAACAATATTGCTCAAGCTTAAGCGTTCATAGTTGTGCGATTGTCAATAAAAAGCAAATATTGCGATGTCTGAGGCACCATAACAATGCGTCTATGTTTGGTATGTCTGCTTTTATACTAGAAGAGGCACACGCAAGTAACTCTAAACTCTGTAGCGTTTATCGCGCTGCGCTGACAAAGCAAACGGTTTGCTCAATAAAGGTAACTGTTTCCAACGCTCTGCTACGACGACATGGTGGTGGCACCTGCCCGTCGCTTTGCATTCAACTCCTTATCACGTCCGAGAATGGCGCGAATCTTTCTCCGCGGGCGCGTACGCTTTGGTTTTCGAAGATAACTGTGAGATGGCGCTCGTGTCTAACGTGCCTCGATGCGCTCGTTGACCTCCACTACACGCTCGAGGCACTTAAATGTAGCGCCTCCAGAATACCATTCACCGATATTCTTGAGCAGAACATTAAATGAACGTTTCGTTCACTCTCTCCCGACGCAAGACTATCGTCGTTCGACGACATTTGCAGAACATGCAGATTCGGGCCAATTTTTTTTCTGATACTTTCTTTGTCTGTAATTTTGATCGCTGAAATTTCCTGCGTGTTTTGCGACGTTATGAAGCCACCAAACTTTATGATATCGTATAACCGCGCACGAACTAATTGTTACATTTGAGTGGCGAACCGACAGGCATTGAAGAAATCGGCGAAAATTTCCCCAGAAAAAAAGATCGCTGCTTACCGATCACTCAGACACTATAGAGGTAAGCGAAAAGTTGGTAGGTGTAGTGCTGTTAAAAAAACATTGATGGCCTAACTGCATGCTTCGCTGACGAAGCTACTCAAAAAACGATAGTCTTTTGTCTGTAGAGCGAGTGAGAAGAAAACGTTAATTTGATGTTCTGCGCGAGAAAATAGGTGAGTTGGCGCTGCGTGAGATGTGGATGCCATCTAGCAGTAATTTGAATGAACAATAGAACGTAGTGCCACACCATGTAGTTTTAGTGAAGCGTAGGGAATACCCCGTTTACGGGATAGCGTCGCAATGATAGCGCTGCGTAATAAGCGCTGCTGTGCCTATAATTACGCATCTATGCACTGTAAAAGGAAAGTAAAACAGTTCTTAATGCTTCTGTATTGATGCTGCTCTCAAATATGAGTATTATTAGGTTTTTATTAACAATTTTCACTAGTATGAACGCAGCCAGAAGATGGGTGGTCATTGAGCAAGGGGTTAAACTTTTGCTCTAACACTGAATTGAGCAACGGACAGACATGGAAGCGCACAGAGACTGAAAGGGTGAAATTTCTGCTTTGAAGTATTCCAATTGTCTTTAAAAAAATGATTTTCAGCTTATAAAAACAGCACTTGATTCAGTTGTCTAAAAAGGCGTTGCAATTCGCGCTTCTGATTGCGTCGGTGGTAACGCAAGTTTTTCGTTTGCAAGGTCTAGTTTCATAAACAAAAAAAAACTTGAAACAGCTATACATAATAGGCTCCTCAGATAAGTCGCATGCAAAATAATAACGAATAAGAGCTTCGCATAATATTTTATGCAACCAACATTTTTTTTTCTGTATCACAATTATATTACTCTTCATCATAACCCAACAGAATAAAATATTTCCTCAGTGATATTGTAAGTCTGGGGTATGAGAATATATCCTGCTTCATCTCAGTAATTTAGAGAATTAATTATGGAAGAGAGAGAGGGAAAAAACTGTATCAGAAATGTAGGGAGGTGATCTAGACTAACTCAAGTAATAGGAAAAAAATTACTAAACAAACACAGGGTGAAGTGCGATATTACTTAGCAAGCCACAATGTTGTAACGTTCTGAATGTGAAAACAGGCCGTAAGATTATTTACTCCGTACTGTGGGATGTATACATATGGGGACAAATGTGGACTTCGCACAAAACGAACAAATGAAACGTATTGAAAGAGACGAACTGTGGCACAAGTCATTTACCAGAAAATGAGAGGCATAGGGTAGAAAGATATTGCGTTTATTCACTTACTGCGCTTTGATATACAGTTATTGTATAATCTAACCCATTTAAAAAAATGAAACAGTGACCTAACAAGTAGTCTAGTTAACGAAAATTATTTCACTCTTCATAGCAAAGTACTCACCTCGCCATTCAGGAAGCAGTACAGCACGGCGACTGTGAAACCCTGCATAAGATAAATATTTTTTTCGGGATGTAAGTAGTTAAATAAATAACCTAGAAACACACAATTCACCTTCGCCAAAGGAAGCAAACAGAGCAAAAGCTAAACATGCGAAGGACATCTTTCATAGCGTATTCTAGTATATTCATTAACAACGACCTATTATTCTAAAACACAGCAGTGCCTTCAACACCATCGTCTTATATTTCATAGCATTTAAACGACATAAACGTACAAACACTCATTTCTAGACGAAAGTTGTCTCTTTCAGATGCGAGCACTACAACGGGCATCTTTGGCAAATCTCTGAAGAGTCCAATCGACCCAGTATGGATTGCTCTTGCTCAAATGCGCGGCCTAAGCGAAAATCAATACTCAGCTGCAGTAGTGCGATCACCGTTCAGGAGGCACTTCTTTTCATCGAGCCTCAACAAACACTTCCCCCGATTTGGCCAAAGTGTCTACTATCTCATACTCAGCTACACCATTCTCGCATCTCGTCCACGTCGTTACCTCTGCGGGTGATAAATGGGATCCCGTCTTATCAGCGCCTTTGGACCGCTATATTATTTTATTTCAATATTTTGATTGTTTACCTTCTTTGTAATCTTGAGCATGGGAAGTCACGCATCCTTAATACAGACCGGTACACAAATGCGTGATAGATATAAAGGGCATGCGAATATGATGCATCGGCTTTTTCATCTTGTGTATTACGCCTCTGATGTATTATCAGCGCAGATAATGCACACGTCGTGCAATGGAGTACGTGTATAGGTCCGTTGGATTACGGTAACGAAAAATACAACGGCGGTAAATAGACTGGACGGCGAAGAGGCACAAACAAAGTGCCCTTCGTCATTCACCTGTATTTTTGTGCTATTTCCATTCTTGTCGTGCAAGTTTTGGTGACGTGTGAAAAACATGTCAAGGAAGAAGCAACAAAAGGGACGAAGGCAGGTAGGTTAACAAGAAAGACATCAGGTTGGCTACCCTACACCGGGGGAATAGGGAAGACGACAAGAAAGATGAAAAAGAGGGAAAAGAAGGACTAAACATGCCATTATTACTAATATGTTAACTACTTGTAGCTAAAGAATGTTTTCACGAAGGCAAACATTTCTAAGGAAATGGCCATGCGAAAATGGGCTGACTTGGCAATCTATAAGAGGACTCCTTAAAAATAAAGCGACGCAGGCCTTATTTTGGGCCCACAAGTACGAGTTGCTCGCACGCAAGTCATGAAAATAAACTGTATTGCCTCTTAAAGGTAGTTTAAATATGGTCACATTATTAGTTATTAGTAGTGTGCTTGCGTACATAAAAGTACGCCAATGGCAAAAATAAAATTCAGTAGTGAAATATATTGTGCATTGATAGTCCACTTCATTCAGTTCCTTACTTGGCGGTTTTTCCTTGTCATGCCGAAGTTCCAGCACTAGCTTGAATGTGGTTATTGATTTCACCTTTGCGTCGGCTATAAAGGTGCAGGTGTACGAGATGTATTCGAATATGTTTGTTTTATCGGTGACCTATGCGGGATGTATTCTGATATAGTTTTGCGTTTTTGTTTTTGCTATTTCCATATAGTATGCGTCTTGAGCGTACAGTGTGAAACTTGTTTCCACATATGTTCTTTGTACGTGCCAGATATGTAACCCCAACTCCTGTCTTGGCCCTTGGGCTGACAGTATGAATAAAAAAAATAAAAATAAAAATATATTTTGGTCCAATGTTTTATTCTGACATTCTGCTGTTCCTCCTTATTTATAAGTTGTAGTTTCTCAAAGATAACTTTTTTACCAAATGTGGTCTGAGTGCTCTTTGAAGTTTTGATGAATAATGTTTTGCTGACAAAAGTCTGCATTAAACATTACTGCTTACTAACTGTGAGATTGCGGGTACGATATCTCTATTATCTTAGTCTTCTCAATTTTTTATGAACAGATTGCGCACTTCGAAAACGTGATGTAGGACTACTATCCCCATTGAGGTATCCCCATTGATTATCCCCATCGCCAAGGACGACAACGATATTATATATCTATTTAGGTCTGTGTCCAATTTAGTGGAAATTGTTTAAAACCTTTCTTTTCAACTTCTATTGCCTGGAGCGAACAGCAGGTCTTTATAAATAAACATGGCTTATCTACCTATTCATGAATCGGCATAACACGAAAGTGATATGGGCCGTCAGCGGGGTAGTTGAGCACTTATTTCGAATTAGTTCGCCACAAGGACGAAGCAATGAATGCTACAGCAACAAAGTACTACTTTGTTCGAATAACGGCAGGCAGCCCGAAACGCGCAGTGTGCAACTCGTGCAGAAAGCACACACGAAATCAACGTAAACAGAATGAGCGCGGATAAACTGTCTCAGCTTGACACTTAAATACCGCTGCTCGAACACAAAGAAGATACGAGACGAACGCGCACAGAACGAGTGCGAATAACTGTCACTTTTTTTTACTTAATCGTATGTGAACAGCATGCTCCTTTCGTAAAGGTGACCGTGGGAACGAGCCCAGTGGCGTTCGTGCTCTTCTGATTATCAAGCCTGATCTGATAAGCGCGCGCACAGAGATACCCACTGGAGACACGCGCACAAAGATATGCAAGAGGTGCCCTACAGGGGCTTTACCCAACGCGAGGCTGTTGGGCCAGTTCACTACTGATGACAAAAACATGGTGAAATTGAGAAGCTCCGAGGACGACCAACGGTACATGGTGTATATAAATGGCTTGCCGTTGCCAAGCTTCTCAATGTACACTTCATGGCTTAGTGGCTTGTGTCGCACGCTACAAACTAAGACGTTACTGATTCGACGTCCCACGAAGGAACTTTCCCTTCTGTTTTTCTTCTTCGCAATCTCCTTGTATCTAATGTACCACGTCATATCCGTGACTGAAACACGTCAGCGGATCCATGGTGAACCTCGGCGTAACACACTTTCATCTAAAAGTAGCAGTACTTCTGTGTACTAATACAACCGAAGAGCAAAGCTCCGTAGAAACGGGATGCAAAATACTACGTGCCTATCTCGCTGCAGGCTTTCATAAAGGTGGTACCGTGAAGAAACGTTTTTAAGGCCAGTAAAGTTTCGCAGCTCCGCTCACGAGCCAGCACACACGGCTAACGGGTAAACGTGGAGGCGACGCACATGCCGCAATGAGCTGAGAAGCACGAGAAGTAACCGCTTACATTGATTGCCGGTTTCTCCATGCTTGCTTTGTCTGTGCTGACCGCATTGACAACGCGTGAGGGGTCACGCAAGATGGAACTGCAGCGTCAAAAATTCTTGCGTCAGCCATCGTGTTCGTTTCGGAAAGCCGCGAAACTGACCTAGTTCTAGAAACGTCCGGGTAAGAAGTGTTGACGCGGTGGGGATGTTTGACGGTGACGGTGGGGTGCAGACCCTATTAAAAATCCTGGGTTGGGGGATGCTGGAATCATTGGTGGATATGGTGGAAATAATAGTGGATATGGTGGAAACTGTAGTGGGCATAATGGATGTTGAGGGCGACAAAGGAAAAACTGACGGCAGATGGTGGTGGTGGTGGCAAGCCAACGGTGGTGACGGTTGGAAACGCCGGCTCATTACGGCCAGAGGGAAAAAGTGGTGGCAGATGGTGGTGGCAGTGGCGAACCATTGGTGGTGACGGTGGAAAATGCCGGCTGATGGTGGCGAAGCAAAACGTCTTTGGTGGAAGGCTTGGTGAGCAAGGTGAATGACGGCAGCGTGGTGGAAGCTTGGTGGATGATGGTGGCGTGATGAAAAATACATGACAGTATGTGAAATCCCTTATTTCTAGCGTTTCATTCTTGTATGCGCAGAGACATATTATGACGTCTGGGTTGAGACAGCTTTCATTCATCCAAGGGCTCAGCAGCGAACGGGCAGTCTGAGACTGAGCGCGCACACACCCGATGATGAGTGTGAAGATGAGGACAGGGACCCAGATGAATTATGATGATTATGATAATGCATATATGAGAAGAAGCGCATAATGAACGCCCACACTGATTCCCCCCACATCGAAGCGGCCAACGTGGCCATAGCAAGTCAATGTGGCACAGAACTTCGCCTGAAGGGTTTCATGCGAGACACGTGCACGATCTCTGTGGTGTGGTGACGGTCGTCTGTTTGGACGACAAGTGGGGTCACACGATAATTAACGGATGAAGTCTGCTCGATAACTATCTAAGGCCCAATGAATTGCGGCTGAAACTTGTGCACAGACCAGGTGTACGAATAGGTGTGAACAGGAGCACCTCGTCACATGGTCGGAAGAATAGAAGGCGATGGGATGCGTCATAAATGACTTTTCGATCTTGCTGTCGCGCTTCCGTGTTGATGCGAGCACGATCGTGACACCGGGCTAGTCTTGAAATGTATTCCTCGCTGGAAGACGAAGACGAGTTGACGTCACTGTTGAAAAAGAAAACGTCGAGGAAGAAAGTAGGGGAACGTCCATGAACGAGGTAGAACGGCGAATAACCGGTGGTGCGCTGAATGGCCATGTTGTAAGAAGAGGTGAGGAATGGTAGAAATGTGTCCCAAGTTTTGTGATCTGGACTGATGTACACGGCTATAATATCAGCAAGAGTACGGTGAAACCTCTCAGTGAGACCTTTGGTCTGAGGGTGGTAGCTTGAAGCTGTCTTGTGTGTTATTTCAGAGGCGCGCAATACTTCATTTAGCACTTCTGAGAGGAGCACCATTCCACGGTCACTCAGCAATACACGAGGGGCTCCGTGGCGCAGAATGATGGCGTGCAGAACGAAGTCGGCAACTTCCGAAGCAGAGGCAGTAGATACAGACGTTGTCTCCGTGTATCGTGTCAAGTGGTCTACGGCGGTCACTGTTCATCGTTTGCCAGTAGATGTGACGGGAAGAGGGCCGTAGAGGTCAATACCTACAACCTCAAATGGCGTTGTGGGGCACGGAATCGGCTGTAGAGGCCCGGCTGGAGCTGTTGTTTGGATTTTACGGCGCTGGCAC